GGCACTTCTTTCCTTTCATTTACTTTTAACTTTTTTTTTTTCCCCCGTACCTTCCCTTCTCTTTCCTTTCCTTTCCTTTCCTTTTCTTTTTTCTTCTCCCTTTTTCTTTTTTCACTTTAGTTTTCTTTTTCCTTTCCATTTCCTTTTTGTTTTTCTTTCACCTTTTCCTTCTTCTCTTTTCCCTTTTCCTTTTTTCTTTTTCCTTTTCCTTCTTTCTGCTTTTCCTCTTTTATGTCTTTCTGTTTTTTCCTTTTTATTTTCTTTTTTTTCCCTCCTTCCTTTTCCCCCCCCTTCTTTTCACACTCCTCCAAGGGGAAAAAGCTCAGAGCCTGCTTCTGCCCTTATTACTGCTAGATCCCCAGAGACACCAACTGCATCAGGGAGGCTGCACTGGGACCCCCACCCCAGGGCTGGGACCCCCAGCCTGTATCCTGTACAGTTGGTTTTATTTCTGTCTCCATGTAACTTGTTTCTGTAACAAATCAGCACTGTTGCTGCACTGACAAGCTCTCTTAATCATACCAAATTCTCAAATTAAATGAGATGCTGTGAAAAAGCCAGCATCTTTGGCTGACTAGTAGCATTGTGCTTTCTGCAGAGGAGTGGGGTTGAGATGAATTCACTGAAGGTGTAAGGTTTTAGAACATTAAACATACACAGGGATGCTCCTGTGCAATTGTGGTGTTATCTTCATCCTTGCTACTGGGGAAAGGAGCTGTGCTTCTCAGTGGGAACATAAACAGTTGTAATGAGCTTGAACTTCACACAAACTCACCGAAGATGCTAACTTCCCATACAGATGCAGTATTTCCATGCCATAACAACAATTACCTGGCTCCCACAGGGTGCCAGTTAGTACTTTGTCAAGCAGAGCACATCTATGTGTTATTGAAGTGATTTGGGTGTGTAATAGGCAACTGCAATTACTACTGCTTTTGCAGCTTCAGTCACGCTTTAATTCTGTCTGTGCGTAGGGCCATTAAAACAGAAAGTCAAATGTAATATTTCTGATGAAACTGGTGGTTGCACACTCAGTGTTTGAAGCAATTGTAATAGGCTGCTGAGAATCATCCAAGCCTTTCTGGTTTAGCTACTAGAAAGAAACCTCTTCCTAATCCATATGCTTTTTCATCAGTCAGATCCTCAGTTGATGTGTTTCAGCAGATGCTGCCAGTTTAATGCTAGCTGTGAATCTGACCTAGCTCTGTAGGTTGTTTACATAGACCGAGAGTTTGGCTATAGGGATATTGGTTTTGGGGTACGCCTTTGGTGGGAGAGAAGGTGATGTGAAACTATATAGGAGTCCCCGTGCTCCCCTTCAATTACCGCCTTAGTTCATTGCAGAAAAAAGTGTAAGAAAATCCTTTGTGGTAGTTGTGGTGTTAAAAACAATTCCAAAAAACTGACACACTGCTCTCTTCAAAACTCGATATAAGAAAAAAATAGGACTTCTTGATACATAAAGAAAATTCTTGCAAAACTAACCTGTGTGAAAGGGGTCCTCTTGTGCTCTTGGTGCTTGAGCAGATTTTCTGATTTACTATTGCCATTTCTGTGACATCAAATTGAGAAGGAAAAGAGAGGTGAGGATCCTAATGAACATGCTAGTGTTTTTTTTCAGCAAGAATTTCTCTGCTGTTGTCAAGCTGCATAGCTGAAAAACCTGAATGTTGTTCAAATTATTTCCCCTCCCCGCTTCCCCACCCTCTCCCCCCCAATGGACCTTTCTATTCTTGCCCATCTTACAAGGAAAGTTTGGCATTTGGTCTTGCAGCTTTGATTTAAGGGATGGTTTGGGGTTTGATTCCTGTAGGATGAAGAGGAAGTCTGTCTGTGGGAGTACCGCGGAGCAGTGCCACAGAGCATCTCTGCATACAAGTGGTTGTTTCCATGGGTGTACTCTGAGCCAAGTGCTGGGATCTTCAGCGTTGGGGCTGGCGGTCTAGACAGCACAAGTCACACCCTGCAAGCAGCCGTCAAGCCATGGCTGATAAATCGTCCTTGAGCATTCAACACAGCTGATTGCTTGAAGCAATCCCTGCTCGATGGAGGCAGAGGCTGGCAGACCTGGGAGCCAAGGTGATTTTTTTCTGAGGCATTGCTTGTGTTTCTTTTTGGAGTTCCTCTGTTTAGTTGCAAGGGTCCTGAGAGAGAGTGAGAGCCTGGGGTACTGCTGGGTGCTGGTTTAAAGATAATTTAGAGATAGCACAACGTTGTGGCTTAGGGAAGGGAGCACAAGGAAGGGAGGGTGGGAAGTCTCTGGAGAATCAGATTATGCGGGTCCCCAGGGTACCAGAGAGCCATCTGCCAAGCTGCTGTGCTCCAGCTGAGCTTAGGCAGACCTGTGAACTGCTGCCAAAACTCAAAGGTTGGAGCAGTCAGCCACCAGCAGAGTATCCTGCTCCACGTCAGCTCTGCCACGTGGGTGCCGGGTATCCCCGGGGTGCAGCAGCTGGTAGAGGTGTGAGGTTTGTGGGCTTGGCCAGAAGAGGTGGGAGCAGCATTGCTGAGCTCAGCAACATGCGCCACCCGTTCTCCATGAAGGGATGTTTCCTTGCAGCTAGTTCCTAATGGAAAGCAGTGTCTGGCTTCTGACAGAGCGGGGATTTCATGCTCTGGCTCTCCCACCCAGACCTGCTCTGTGGCCTGGAGGTTTCATTGCATCTCGTTGGGTCGTGAAACTGTGTGGGTTGTTCCCTTTGAAATTTTGGCTGTGATAGAGAGCTCCTCCGGATCGTCACCATGTGGAGAAGTAGGTCCGCAGATGGACAAATTTAGGTCTTTAGCAATTTGTGTCATAAACATCTGAATCTCCTCCTGAAGGGATTCCTGTCCTCCAGCACCCGTGGTAACAGAGGCTGTTTCCAGTCCTTTTTTCCTGTTTGCACTGAGATGAAGTTGGTGGGGGGCAGAAATTGTATGCTTCCATGGGGTGAAAAAGCTATATGAGACCAGCTTTAAGTGTCTGCCTGACACTTTCAGTCCAGCTGTAATTGTCCTGTTCCTCTCAGGAATGGCATTGTTTGAAGTACACTTCTGCAGTATGTTTCCAGGTGCTTTTTCTGGTGGCAGCCCCTCCTTGCTTTGAGATGCCTCTTGCTGTTGTGCCAGCTCCTGTCGGAGACCACAGGCTCCTTGGGATGCTAATGCATCTGAGCATTTATGCTCTGCATTACAGAGATGAGCAAGGTGGGTCGTGGATGGGGCTTAAAAGCAGGGTGGGGTGAGGGCCTCTGGGTGTGGGCTAGGTTGCTACAGGGTTGAATCAGGAGTCAAAGGAGCTCAGGTATTATTTCGCCCTTGAAGCTTGAATTGCTCCTGGATTGACTGTACTTCCTGGATGCTGTAAGCAAACAAACCTGCCTGGGCACAGGATCAAGCTGTCCGTCAGGGATCAAGCTGTCAGTCAAAGTGGCAGCTCTGCATTTCCACCTCCACCGAGTGCCTTAGC